GGGGGCCGCCGCGGGTGCGCTGGCGCCGTGGCCGCGCTTTCGGCGCTTGAAAGCACGAGCGGTGCCCGCCTCCCCATCGGCCTCGGCCTCGTCCGCAGTTGCGGCATCCTCGCTCCCAGCCAAACCCCGGTCGCGCTCCGTGTCAGAGGCTGCTGCGGGCGCCGCGAGCGCCTCCTCTTCGCCTGCGGCTTCGCGCTGCTGCTGCTCGTCCGAGAGCCTCTCAAAGTCTTGCAGGAAGGACACGACCGCCTCCGCCGCCTCAGCTGCAGAAACCAAGGGGTGGGGGGCCATCCATGCGAGCAATCTGCCGTCATATGCGAGACTGAAGCAAGGCATGCAGCGTTCGATGGCGGCGAGGGAACATGCATGGCACTCATTGCCGCGCCTCAACAAGCTTGGGTCAGTGCATGACACCGGCTGCCGTGCAGGCCGCCCCTCAACTGGCCAGTACGCGCACCTGCCGCCTTCTGAGTGTCGACACTGCGGCCCACAAACTCCTCGCTAGTGGCTTGCACGGCGCCCGCGCTGCGAGCCTTGCGCTTGCGCTCCGCCTGGGTGGTGGCCGTGACATGCTCGGGTTGGCCGTCCGGGCGCAACATGCGGCTGCTCGTTTCAGAGGAAGGCTCTGCATGCATGGCAGGTTCCCCAGCACATCCGCTTCCCTGCGTTGTGCACAAGACCATGCTGGCTCCTGTCGCCAATCAACGCATGATATCACTTCTGGTGCCTGCTCACCTGCTGGCCTGCACCCTCACTGCCCTCGGAGATGAGCCGCCTGAGTGCCACTGCAGGGGCCTCTGGCGGCTGCAGAGCCACCCCGACGTCTTCATGCCGCACCACTGCCGCCTGGCCGTCGGCCCAGTCTGCCACTCCCGTGGGGCCTACGCCATCGAGCGACACGCGCTTGACCACACCCACTGCAGAGGTGCGGCGCCGCTTGCTGCTGTTCTGCTTGTCCAGCACTCGCACCCTCGGCTCCTCTTGCTGCTGTTGCTGCTGTTGCTGTTGCTGCTGCTGCTGTTTTGGCTCCCCAGCCTGCTTGAGTCCTTTCGCCACGACAGCGGCGGTGGGCTGGCGGTCCGCTGCTGACTGCACATGGTGCTGCTGCCCCGCTACTGCATGGGAACGGCAAGCGTGCATGCATGCGCGCATGGCGCGTGGGGTTGATAGCAACAGCATGCATGGTTGCATACGCTGGGCACTTGGCTGGCGATGGTGAGGACCACCTCGAACAGACACTCGCTGCCCAACCCCAAGCCCAGTTGACAGTGCACACCCCTGCACACCCGCTGCTTCGACAGACAGGGCTCCTGGGTTGTATGCCAGCAGATGCGCCTCCACAGATCCGGGTGTGGCGTGGAATGCGCGAGGCGCTAGCCGTGGTTGCCTGTTTGCACACGAGCGCAGCAGCATCAGTCAGTACGGTCCAGCCGAGCGGGCGCGGCTCAACAAAGACGGACGCTTCGACAACCGTTTGGCACGGAACGCACAAGTATGAGACATCCGTGACAGCGAGGACCTCTGCGGCCTGCTCAAGTGTCTTGGCGTCAAGCGCGAGGGCCGAAGTGACCACGGGCAGCTCAGCATGATCGTTATCTGGCTCAGTTGTGAGGGCAAAGCTGAGTGAAGGGGAAGGATCTGTGACATACAATGCCAACGGCCTGCACGGTGGCGTCTTGGCCGTCATGGTTGCGGGCTTGTCGCGCCCAGATCAACCTGGCGTGATCGAGGCTGCCTATATGATGAGCAGCATCGGACATCGCGTTTTGATTGATACGAAAGTAGAACGGGCCGTCGACACATCATACAGCGAATCCGCATGGTGTGCGCTGCTGGGCCCGCTGCTGGGCACGCTGGGCCCGACTGATGCCCCCACCCCTAGCGGTGGCGGTGAGTGCAACCCACAGGCGGCCAACACTCGTCGCCATTTGAGTCGTGACCGTGGCATGCGCATGGAAACATCCCGCCGCATATCTTGTGTTCAAGTACGCTCGCCCTTCGTCCCATGCGGCGTGAAGTCCAAGGGCCCCTGGACCTGCGCGTCGTCATCACGAGTCACTGCCCACATCCGCCACCACTCGAATAAACAAAGCAGCAAAGCTGCACGGCACAGCCAAAGGCACTCACAGAAACACGCTCGGAGTTCAAACGCAAAGCATTGTCAGCTGTCGCTGCGACGACGAGAGCGCCTGCCTGCGCAAGCGCTCGCCTGCACCAGGCACAAGCAGCACCACAGCGAGCCTGCCGCAACCGGTGTCCTCAACATGGGATGCCCACAGCCCGTAACTGTGGGCCGGTACCTGGCAGGCCGCCTGCGCGACGTGGGGTGCACCCACGTGTTTGCCGTGGCTGGGTGCGCACCCAGCGCCGCATCGCTTGGGAGATGCAGCGCGCTCCCGCCGCCCCGCCTCACCCGCCCAAAGCGCAAAACGCTCGCAGCTGCTGCCGGTTTGCCATGCGCTGCCTCTTTGTGCACCGCGAGTACCCTGTTTATCAACGGCCCGTTTTCACACAGCGATCCCGGATGCCGCTCTGCCGAGTGTGCAGCACCCATCCCCCCAGTGGCCTTGATGCTCTGATGTTGCTGCCCTTGAGCCATGCATTGAATTCTGGCCCACTGTTTCTTTGCACCCACCCCCGCCGCCTCACAAGGGACTACAACCTGGCCCTGCTTGACGAATTCAACACAACGCCCGGCATCAAGATGATCTGGAACTGCTCGGAGCTCGGCGCCGGCTACGCCGCCGATGGCTTTGCGCGCGGCAGGGGCGTGGGCGCCGTGATCACGACCCTGGGCGTCGGCGGCCTCAGCGCGCTCAACGCGTGTGCGGGCTGCTACAGTGAGGATCTGGTGAGTGGTGCTGCCGCGCCCTCGCGCGGGCGCTGTAAGCCCGGTTGTTGCCGGAGGGGTCTTCAGGCGGGGCCTGGTCGGATAAGCAAAGCGAGGTAGCTGGGCATGTCACATTTTCATCCTGTTGGGGTGCAGTCGTCAAGGACTGGACTTTGTGGTGAATTTCAGCACATTCTGAGGCAAAACAAGTACTCAAAACCAGCAATGACAGGAGACCACTTGAGCTCCAGGCTTAGCTTTGTGCTTCGTTCATCCTACATTGGATTCATCCTTCCAAAGAGAGTCCCTGCCCCCGCACGAGCATAATTTGGCCCGCTTTGCGCGCGCGACTGCCGCGCCCGCAGCCCGTGCTCTTCATCAATGGCGGCGTCAATTCGAACGACATGGCGGGCTCGCAGCATGTGCTGCACCACACAGTGGGGCGGCCCGGGGATTATGGGCAGCAGCTGCGGGCCTACAAGGAGTTCACATGTGCACAGGCGGTGGTGCAGCACACGTCCCAGGCGCAGCGGCAGGTGGGTATAGCCAAGGTTGAGTCGGGTTTGTGTAGAGTTGTCAGGTAAGGGCAGATGTGTGCATGTGCAATGATGCAGCTCAGCTGTGTGAATGAGTTAGCTGAGGTGAGGCATTCAAGTGGGCTGTGCTGCTCGCCTTTGTTGGCTTGATTGTGGCTGGCGCCGCCCCTGCTTCCTCCCGCCACTGGTGCACACGTGTGTCACTGAAGCTCTCACTTCCGCTGCGCATCATCCGTCCAGATTGATCAAGTCATCTCAACAGTGCTGGTGCGCTTGTTTGGGGTTCAGTGGAGTTGGTCAGGCGGCAGGGGAATGTGCGGCAGTCGCCTGTATTGTCCATTGTCTTTCGCATACTCCCCGCAACAGTCAGCCTTATCAGCGGCAGGGGCTTGGTTGTGCAGGATGCCACCAAACGGCCAGCACGGCGCATGTGGAGCAACACGCACGCACGCTCCTACCAGACGCTCCTGCCGGACGCTCCTCCCATCCGACATTCACATCTGTCACCTCCTGACAGCAGCGCGACCGCTGCGTGCGTTCCTGAATCGGTTGGCAATGCACAAATGCAAAACCTCGTAGAGAGAGTCCAAGCCCGGCTATATAGAGGTGTGCTGCAACCTGTCGGGCCTCAAGCACCCCTCCCTGTCAGACCCGCCGGCCCCTCTGCCGGACGTTGCGCTTCCCGTCGACGGCCCCTCATTCTCCGCCGCCGTCGCCGCCGCGGCGGCCGCGCTGCAAGGCGCAGCCAAGCCCGTGCTCCTGGCGGGCCCGCGGCTGCGGGCGGCCAGGCGCCGAGCGGCGTTCGTGCGGGTGGCCGAGGCCTCGGGGCTGCCGGTGGCGGTGACGGCGGACGGGAGGGGCGCGTTCCCGGAGGACCACAAGCAGCTGCTCGGCACCTACTGGTTAGTCATGTGATGAGTAGGAGGGGTCCAGTGCTCACGGACGCTCGGCAGTGGCAGTGCGCGCGTTGTGGCAGCAGTGCTTTGGGCAGCACAAGAGCCAGCAGTCGATGCCTGCAGATGCTGCCAGGATGTTTTAAGCCGTCCGGCAAGGGACTGATTGGGTGCTTTGCTGCGCTTGCGGCGCTACACCGTGGTGACTCATTGGACCGCCGCTCGTATGCTGCGACCACATTGCCCCTGTCATTTCTCAGGGGCGGCATCAGTGGGCCAGGGGTCAACGAAGCGGTGGCGTCAGCGGATGTGGTCGTGTCGTGCGGGGTGGTGAACACAGACTACTCCACCCTGGGGCACAGCCACAAGCTATTGCCGGAGAAGGTAGGGAGAAGCAGGGTCGGCCCCTGGGGGTATCAAAGCCACACCTATGCGTTGACAACGAGGCCAACGACTAGGGCGCCATAGGCGTGATTTGCGTGGACAGACTGGTGCTGTCGCAGCCGCACGCCGCCCTGATTCTGGTGCATGTTCTCCTGCTCATCGCTCAACACGTCTGGAACAAAGCTCTCAACCTTTCTCGTTTTGTTGCAATCAAACCCCGTGTCAGGTGATCGATGTGCAGCCCGGGTGTGTGACAGTCAAGGGTGGGCCCACCTACAGCTGCACGGGCGACGTTGAGGTGCGCTGGGCATGCTTGAGCGCATGAGTGGTGCGTTTGAGTGACAGCGCCGGCAGGTTGAGCAGTTTGTGGTGGGTAGTGCTGACGCTGCAACTTCCAGTGCATGATCCAGCAACCTTAGTCTAACCTTCTTGAGTTGCAATCAAGTGTTGCGCCAGCCCAGAATCCCAAACAATCTGCAACCTCCCTGATCCCACCAGCTCAACCCCTGCTCCCGACGCCTCGCACAACCTGCTGGCTGCATAATCGTCTAAGGCTGGGGCAAAATGTAGCCCCTCCTCTGCTCCATCCTTACCGTCACCAGGACCCTCTGCCCCTGTCTGCTCCCCTGCCTCCAGGGCTTCCTCTCTGCCCTGGCCGGCGAGCTGCAGCCAAACCCGAACCCCCTCAAGACGCTGCACCGCATGCAGCCGCCCCGCACGCCGCCCTACGCGGCCGCGGAGGAGCCCGCGGAGACAGCTGAGAGCGCCGTGGGGCCGGAGGAGCAGCTGCTGACTGTTTGGACGCTGGGGCGGGAGGTGCAGGAGCACATCGGCGCCAAAACTGTGGTGCTGGCGGAGACCGGTGCGCAGACCTCCGTGCGAAGGCGGGCGGGGGTTTTGAGGTTGTTTGTTGTTCACGGCGGCCGCTGCTGGTGTGGGCTTGGGCCGGCGTGCCAGGGCCTTGCATGGCAACAGGACAGTGAGGCTGACACGACAGGAAGGGGATTGCGTTTACGAGAGCGCCAAAGCTTCCTAACTATCTTCAAGGCTGTTTCTGGACACCCTAATGGTGCTCGGGGCGCGGCTCCACAGCAGGGCGCCCATTCATCCATGCCCCTGCCACCCCCTGCTTTGCGATCCCCACTTGACTGCCAGGCGAGGCCACGTTCACCGCGATGAAGCTGCAGCTGCCGCCCGGCTGCCTGATGGAGGTGCAGATGCGCTACGGCAGGTAAGCGCCTGCAAGCGCCCCAGCATGCGCTGCGCAGGGCCGCAATTGGAACGGGGTGTAGGGCTTCAGCGGCAGGTTTGTTATGCAAGAACAGCTCGCCTTGCCCTGCAGCGATGTGCGGCGGGAGGTGCCCCTTGCTCTGCGCTGCTAAATCGCTGTGTCAACGCCCTGTCTCTCGCCGCTGCGCTCGTGCACCCTGTGCGCAGCATCGGCTGGAGCGTCGGCGCCACGCTGGTGAGACGCACGGTTATGCAATGGTCAACGCCGAGATCTTTACCCCCCACCTTTGAGCCCCACTCCGCGCTGCAAACCTGAAGCATATGGGACGGGCACCCAGCACACGCGCTGCCTGCTTGCAGGCTTGTGCAGGCAGACAAATGGCAGGCTTGCATGCATTCCCACGCCCGCACATACCCTTGCGGCATCCCCTGCGCTCTTGCATTGAGCGCACAGGGCCTCAGCCTGGCGGCGCAGTCCGAGGGCAGGAGGGTGGTGTCGCTTATCGGGGACGGTTCCTTCCAGATGACCGCCGTGGTGGGACCCGCGATGCGCAGCTGCTGAGTGCGTTGTAAGCAGCGGGCTTGCACCGGCGGCGGCGGCAGCGGCGGCTGCAGCTGCAGCAGCAGCAGCGGCACAGAATGGGGTGCAGATCCGGCCTCCTCGCTGTGAAGCCAAACCGTCGTGGAGCACCCGGGAAGCAACCCTATCTCCGCGCCGCTCAAGCCATGCGCCTCCCGAATGCCAGTGCCTTGCGCCCTGCTTTTCACAGCAGCGGACTGCATCCCCTTTGTGTCCCCAGCTCCCACCCGAAGCCGGCCCTCTCATCCTCCTGGCTCGCAGGAGCTCAGCACTATGCTGCGCTTCGGCGCGGCGCCCATCATCGTGCTGCTCAACAACGGGTGAGGTCGCCCACCGAATGCTGTTACAGCAACGTCTCCCTCGTCGGCGCGTTCATCATCAGGGCGACAGCAATCTCTGCCAGCTGGCAGTTCACATGCCCACGTGCGAGCCCCGCACACGCATACAAATGGACGGGCTGGACTGCGTGGTGCGACGCTTTTGCTTCTCAAACATCAAATCGAAACGACACCCGCAATCACCACAACTATCCAGGACCTATGTGATAGAGGAGGAGATCCATCACGGGGAGGGTTACAATGACCTGCAGGTGATGCAGGGGGGGGGGGCGTGCTGGCCCATTGTCAAACTGAATCATTGCAGGGTGTGAAACCAGCGTGGACGCGGGCCCATGTAGAGAGACGTGTCTTCTGGAGGGGGGGCATGTCACAACTTGCACCTGGAGTTTCAAACAGACCACCTCCACCTGCGCAAGAGCCCCTTGACGCGGTCACAAAAGTGCCTTGCACCTCAGCCCCCCCCCACCACACCAAGCCGCACAAACATCTGAGTTTGCCGCCCTCCCCTGAAAGAGCGATGGTGTGTAACTGACAATATTGTGTCAACACAAACCCCCGAACACATCATCAGTAACTTATCTATCTATCTATCATCAACGCACGTCCGATCTGCCTCTCACCCCTCACTTGCCACCGCAGGTCTGGGACTACGTCGCCCTCGCCCGCGCCATGCACAACGGCCGCGGCCGCCTCCGGGTCGCGACCGCCTCCACCCCCAGCCAGCTGCGCGACGCGCTGCGCGACGCGGCCGGCAGCCCCGACGAGCTGGCGCTGATCGAGTGCAGGCTGCGGCCCGACGACTGCAGCGTGGAGCTGCTGGAGTTTGGGGCCCGCGTGGCGGCGGCCAACTCGCGGCCGCCGGCAGCTTGAACCAAGGGCCAGCAGACCACACGGGCCGAGCCACGGCGGGAGTGCAGGGAACTGATTGTGCAGGCTGACTTTTTGGGTGCTGCGTGAGGCAATGCGGGGAAGCATTGGGGATTGGACGGGTGGCGGATGAGGAACTTACCCCTGGTGGCATTTGTGGCAAGAGGTTGGGCAGGGGGCTCGCACGAGGGCGCCTCGGCTGTGGCCGGTTGGGAGAGGGGAATGCCCCCTGCCAGACGCGGGTTACATCTTGCAAATGGGTTCTCAGAGGGTACTGTGATGCGTGCAGAGCCCAATGCGTTGACCTGTCTGTTGGAATTCACGGTTGCTGCTGCTTTGCCTCTACCTACTACGTTGCCATGCGTAGAATGCTACCCGCAAAACTTGAATGTTTGCAGGCATCAGTGCATTGTAACGCTGCTGAAAGTTGGACAATCACATTTACATCTAATAGATAGGCAGGATCGGAGAAAGTACAGACCATGAATGGCCTTTTCCCACAATCTTGCCTACACCGTGTGGCCACAGGAGCCTGCGTTGTCGCCCAGCTGGCCTGACCTGCGTGGACCCGTCAACTTCCTTTCTGAAATCAACACAACCATGAAATTGCGTGGATGCACATGTCTGTGTTATGTTTGTATCGGAACTCCCCAGGGGTTGATGCCTGTACTGCCAGGCGATAGAAAGTGCGAATGTGGGCAGCGCGGGGTGCGGCCGAGAAGCGCCGCGTGACCTTCCTGGCGGCTTCGCCCTGCCAGCAGGGGCAGCAGATGAGAGGGCGCAAAAACGCCTGCCCGGAAACGAAGGGGTAGCGGCCGGCCGCGCGACGAAGGTTGGCTTTCAGGGACGCGCGAGGCGCACCAAGAGACCCAATCGCGCACCGTCCGGCGCGCCTGGCGGCCAGGTGCAACGAATGGGGGCAGGCGGTGCATAACAGTGGTTGCCACAGGCCAGGGCGGAAGTGCAGCCAGGGTGTGTGGCCGTGGACTGACGGCTGCAGCGAGGCGTCTTGCTAATGGGCGCGCCAGCCCTGTGTAATGGGCGGGAGGGAGGGGTTTGCAAGCGAAAAGGGTTCAATGTGTCCCACACAGCTGCAGAAAGCGGCGGCGCGGGCCGCGCCGCCGCGAATATCTCCGGCGCTCGCAGGCTTTCCGCGTGCTGTGGGTGCTGGCAGGGCTGCGGGGGGCCATCTGCCTCGGCCTCTTCCAGCGCACCGCGGAGACCACCATCAGGTCAACCCGCACTGCGGTCCGCGTGCCGAGCAGCCGCAGGTGCATGCGCCAGGGCCCGGCGGCGCTCGGGGCGGATTTGTGTTGCGTGCACGCTAGCAGGTCCATCGCCGGCGCCGGCGCTCATGTGGGGCCCAAGTAGATCCTTCAACTTGGCGCCGCATCGGGATCGCCTCCGGCCCCGGCCTGCCATGCGGCAAGTGGGCAGGGGCCGGCCAAGTCGCCAGTGAAACGGGCGCCCCGCCCCGCCGAGGACGGCCGGATTGGGGCGCAGCAAATGCCGCTGGGTGAGGGGGTCCTGCCCGCCCTCCCGAATCCTGCACACGTGGTGTGCGTTGTTTTGTGAATTGCACTACAGTGAACTTTGCGCGAACGGGCGCGAATGGGTAATGTCCATTGTGAGGAAGGTAGGTGACTGGGTGAGACGAGCGGCGGCGGCCACACTGGCGAGGAGCCCGCACCGCGTCACCGCGCCGCAGCCGCCGGGCCGCCAAACCCTGATTGACGGAATCCAGATCTCAGCTCCCAGATCCCAGATCTACAGGCCGTCGGTCGTCGACCGCCACGCCCCCTGGCTGGCGCAGGGCAGGCCGCTCGCCGCAGGCACCCTGACGCTGATGTCGTCGGGCATCGAGTAGACGTGTATGAACCACAGCCCCAGCTTCTCCAACGCGCGCCGCTTGGCATGACCGCCCGACAGGCAGACCGCGTGCACGTAGGCGCGGCGGTCGTCGCAGATGTCTTTGAAGCCGTCCGGCAGGCACTGCGAGGGCGTCGGGGATATGTGAGGAGGGCGTGAAAAGTGAGGGGCAGGGGCGCGTGCTTTGGAGCTACGCCTAGTCTGATCGACGAGGCCGCTGTGCTGCGCTGGATCGGATCCGTTTTGGCAGGGAACGCATGTGATTCGTGTGTGCAGTGTGGTGAATTCGGCCGGCCGGCGCATTGAGAACGAGGTGCAGGAGCTGCCCCAGGATGTGAGAAAAGGGGCCGCAGCGCCAGCACGGCACGGCAACGGTTAGGGGGCCCGCAGCAGCCGTCCCGCGCGCACCATCTGCGCGCGCCCGTCGAACTGGCTGGGGTGCGGCTTGATGGCTGCGATGCCCTTGTTCTTGAGGGCGGTGCACTCTTCCCGCGTCTCGCAGGTGTCGTAGGGGCTGCCTGGGTGGTGCTTCATCCAATTGAGCCACAGCTGGTTGCCGTTCTTGTTGCCCTGCTGGAAGTAACCCACCTGGTGAGGGCGGCGGGGGCAGTGGCAAGGGGAGCCGTCAGTCAGTCAATTTGATGTCAAAGTTGCATCACCGGGGTCGAAGGCGGGGGTGGGGAGGGGCCTCACGCGGGTCCCCGGCGGGATGAGGCGAGGCGGCGACGTCGCAACGTGAAGAGGGCGTATGGTGCGGGGTCGGCCACGCGGTCAGGGTGCAGGACAGCACGCCGTTTCGGACCGTTGCATTGGATAGGAGGCCGTGGTGGGAAAGCGTGCGGCTGCCCTGAAGCCCAACGGGCGCCACTCACGATCCACTCTGTCATCATCTCCCGCGTGCGGCTGCGGGGGCGGCAGCGGGGGTGAGGGTGACGTGCACGGTCAGCGGCAGACCTGCGGCGGCGCGTGCCGTGCCTGTCCCCCCGCGCCAACATGCAAGGATGCCCCTGGGCCGCCTAGGAGCTCGGCCCCCACGACAACGCGGCAAGGCGCAGCCGCATAGCAGGCGCCGCCGGCCGCTGAGTTTTGGTTGCAGGCGTCGGCAGCGCTGGCGGTCGTAGATTTCCCCTATTGTTGGGGCGCCGCCCGCCTAGCGGTCCTGCACAGCACCGCCATTGCCCAGAGCCAAGCAGCTGTGCCTCACAAGTTGTTGCGTATGAAGAAGTTGCCGCTGTTGAGATACTTGCTCACGGAGGTGGTGCCGTCGCTGTTATTCTTGATGCGCGCCTCCTGGCGGGGTACATTGGCGGACGAGCAAGGGAAAATCGTTTCACAGCTTGGTAGGGCCCCATACGCAGCACCATACCCATGCGCATGTAACTGCAGGCTATCCCTGTCCCCTGCCTCGCCTCTTGCTGACGACACCAGACAGACTCCTTGCATGCCATCACAAGAACAATCAAGCACACACACACACACACACACACACAAACACACACACGCGCGCTCGCACACACACTCTTCACACACACACACATGCACACACGCACACACACGCACGCACAGCGCACTCCCATCCAGCCCACCCACCGTCATGAACGTGCCGTCCGCGTTGTATTCGTCCAGGAAGCGGTTGTAGTTTGGGAAGGCCTCCTTCAGGAACACAATGTCGGCGTCAAAGAACAGCACGTCGTAGCCCTGCTCGAAGATCGCGTCGGTGACCAGGGTCTTGGCCCACACCTGAGCGGGTGAGTGTGTGTGTGTGTGCATATTGGTGTGTGTGTCTGTTGGCTGACGGAACAGAGAGCGTGTGTGTGTGTGTGTGTGTGTGTGTGTGAGTGAGTGTGTTTGCACTTGTGCGTGAATGTGTGCAGCGGTGAGAGTGCATGAGGAATTGTGTGTGTGTGTGTGTGTGTGTGTGTGTGTGTGTGTGTGTGCGCGTGTGCAGGTGTGTTTGATGCAGATGCGCTTGGGGTCTGATTCAACGATGACTGGGGGACTGCTGTGAGGGGTAACAGGGCTTGACTGCTGCCTAACAGCCCCACCCATTGCTATGGCAGGGCACGGCCTCCGCTGCGCATTGCCTCCCCCTTCCTCCCCCAACACACACACATACTCGTACACGACACACACACGCACACACGCACGCACACACCCACATGTGCATGCGTGTGCGCCCAACATTCCCCATCACCCACCAGGTTGAACCACTCCTGCGTGTTGCGCCCCGCGTCGCCCTCTGTTGAGTGCTCCATTTTGAAATCCTTGTGCTTCACCACCCGCGTCGCGTTGTAGCACGGCAGCCGCAGCTCAGTGCAGTGCGCGACGCTCGCGTCCCCCACGGCGGCCACAATATAATTGTGCGCCTTGCCAAACCGCACCAGCGACACGATGCAGTTGAGCGCGATGGGCGCAAAGCCATGGTTGAACACGACCAGGGCGATGGCGTTGTTGATGGCCTGTGCCTTCAGGAGGGATGGCAGGTCGTTATGCAGGCCCTCCCAGCGGAAGCTGCCGTCGCGCTTGTGAAACTCCCTGGGGGCAGTTTCGGGCCGGGCGGAGGGAGCGGTGCGGGGGGTCTGGGGGGTGGGGGCGGCGGACGCTGGTGCCGGATGTGCTGCGCCTGCCCCAGCTCCAGAAAGGTGGGAAGCCGGCCGCGGGCGCGGCACAGCTGCCTGCTGGGGTGGCTCAAAGACGCACGCTGCGGCAGGCAGGCATGCAGGCGCGCGCAGGTACGGTCTCGTGGACTCTGCAGGCAGGCATTTCTCGCGCACTCGCGTGCGTACCATGGCAGCAGATCCGAGTCCCCCATGACGCCCGCATCCGCCGCCGCGTCCTGCCCAGCCACCGGCGCTGCCACGTACAGCAGGGCGGTTGCCAACCACAGCAGCGCGCGCGGCATCCCGTGGGGCGCGCGCCGCATGGGGCCGGCACACCCGGGTGGTGGCTGCGCGCCCGCAGTGGGCTGGCGATATGCGATGAGGACACGTCAGCTGCGCGCGAGTGCCGCAGTGTAGTGCCGCAGCAGCGGCTGTGCCGCCACCCGATGTATCGTGATGTTCACACTAGGCGCATGTTGGTATCCGCGCCGGGCACTCACCTGCAAGGGATGCCTGATGGTTCAGACTTTTGTCCTGGACGCTCGCGTGAGTCACGTTGCAATCCCTGGCAGTGTCGAAAATACACTTATAAAACCATTTCTGTGTGTTGGATGCCGTTGACTGAGCGATTGATGGGGGTGTTGGTCGTTCAGTGGTTCGACCAGCGGTCCTGCAGTATCGCGGCACGCTACTCTGCTGAAAACGTAAAACTCACATCCAACGCCCGGTGTCCCGACAGGAGCGCAAAACGCGGGCTGGCGTGGGAGGCGCGTGCTGGCGGTTGTGGGACACCCGGTAAGTACTGCAAGTGGAGCTGTGAGCAATGCGTTCCCATTAGTTACCCCACCCTGCATTGTTGAGCAAAGGAAACCCACCATACTTCATCAATGGGTCAAATGAGGCATCTATTCGTGTGTGCACACATGGCGAGGCAGCGGGTTTCGGCTGACAACACAGTAATTGGGATGATGACCACTTTCCACTTGCGCTGGCTCTTGTGGCTGGTCAGCGGCTGGTCGGACCGGATACACCGCTTTTTATCAACAAGCCCAATGATATAATACAACAAATCAGTTGATTGTTCATCGACCTGGGGGATCGTTTCCTGGGGAGGAGGCCCAAGTGCCCTGGTGCCAGCCGAGTGAGAGGCCCAGAGCATCTGCTGTACTGCTAGCAGCACCGCCCCAACACCTGCGGTGGCCAGCATGGTGGCACCACAGTGCCACGCCTTGCCCTCTGGTCTGCAGGGCGGGCTCTGCATTCGCACGGGCGTGCACTCGCGGCCATTCCGCTGGTTGGCTCGTGCGTGCGTGTACAGTACGGGTACCCTCTCCAACCATCCACTGCAGGGGCCTGCGCTGCCAATCACCAACAGGGCCAATGCGCGTCGGAGACGCCGCGGGCGTGATGCCCTTCCTTAACCGCGCATGCATCGCGCCTGTTGCAGCTGCCCAAAGAGGCCGTGCACGCAACGACGGCCGCCCAGCGCAGCCGCGCGCCACCGCTTGCGCCGGCTTCAAGGGGGGGAGCGGCTGGGCGGCCGTCAAGCGCAAGCCCAAGCATGGGTGCCCCCGTTTCATCGTCCAGGACGCCCTCCTCCCTGCCCCACCGCCTCTGGCGCTCAGCAAGGGCCTGCCGGTGGCGCCAGGTGGTCGCGTACAGGCTTGAGCTGACCACGACTGGCAGCAGCCGGCGGTCTGCGGCCCCTCAATTACTGGATATGCCCCCACGGTCCTGCAAGACGACCTGTCTAGATTACCGGGGCAACGCACGTCACCGCGGGGTGCAGCATGGGCGGTGTGGCACCCCATCACCATGGGGGAAAGCGTGCAAGATGAGATGCCAGCACGATGGGCCGGGTTTGCAATGCATGTTGCGTGTGCGTTTTCAGACATAAAAGTGGAGGCGCCGCCAAGCAGGCGGCGGAGAAAATGCCAGCAACAGCCGGCGAAATGACACCCGCAACCAAAGCGCGGGCGGGTCATGCCCACTCCTGGGCGGCGCCGCCGCCGGCCACGACGACCGCCGCGGCTGGCGGCGCGGCCACGGGCGGCGCGGCCACGGGTGGCGCAGGCGCCAGCTCGGCCACCGGCGGCACGGGGTCTGCTGCGGCCTCCTCGGCCGCGCCGTGTGCAGCGTCCTGCCCCAGCCGAGACCCCGTCGGCGACTGCGCCTCCGCCGCCGGCCCCCCGCGCAGCGTCCCGCCGGCGCCGCCCAGCGTCCCGCCCAGTGTCCCGCCCCGCGGCCCGCCCAGCGTGCCGCCGCCCTCGCCGCCGCCGACCACGCCGCCGGCGAACCCCGTGCCGGCCGCGGCCGCCGCGCCCACCACTGACAGTTCCTTCAGCGGCTTGAGCATGTCGAGCACCCGCTCAAAGCTCGGCCGGTCGCGGCTGTTCGTCTTCCAGCACGCCAGGATGATGGCCGCGACCGCGGGGTCCAGCTCTGGCGGCAGCTGCAGCCGCTGGCCGGCGAACCCGACGGCGCCGACGACCTGCATAGGGTTCAGGCTGTGCCACGGCTCCTGGCCGGTGACGAGCTCGTAGAGCACGACGCCGTATGAATAGACGTCACACTTCTCGTCTGAGGGCTCGTTGCGGAGAATCTCGGGGGCCATCCATTCTGGGGTGCCGCCGTGGGACTTGGACGTGAGGAAGGTGGTGCTCTTCACCCGCGACAGGCCAAAGTCGCAGACCTGGGTGTGGTAGTGTGTGTGTTGTGTGTGATTATGTGTGTGTGTGTGTGTGTGTGTGTGTGTGTGAGTGCACTCACGCACGTGATCAGCGGCCGGCGCCCCTGAACCCGCCGTACAAAGTATCAGCAGGCGGCGTGGTGGGTCAGATTGCCTGCAGCTTGTTGAGCAGGGCGGAGGGCGCAAGCCGCAGCTGCCGCCCAACGCCGCGTGTGCTGGCTGCAGTTGCCCTCGCTGCACGGCCCAGCGCGACGCAGGATGCCCCGGTGCCGGCGGACGACCCTGCCTAGGACGGCCGTCAAAGGAGCTGCCTTTCCCAAAATCATGCACATGCACATGCACAAGCACATGCACATGCACATGCAGGCGAACACAGACATTGACATTGACACACACACACACATACACATCAACACACACACACACACACACTCGTGCGTGCATGCAACCCCCCTGAAACCCTCGCCCCGCACCTTGACAGTCCAGTCCCTGTCCACCAGCAGGTTTGGGCTCTTGAGGTCGCGGTGCACAATGGCGGGGCGGCTGCTGTGGAGGTAGTTCATGCCTGGGGGGACGCAGTGAGCGGTGGAAGCATTTTGGGGGAGGGTGATTGGAGGCGCTGGGAGAAGCAAATCGACAAAATGCTGGTGTCAGGAGGTGGGCTGGTTGTGCGTCAGGACGGGGGTGGATTCATGGGATGGAAGCACGAAAGGCCCACGAGGCCAGCAACCACAGCGCGCGTTGGGCAGGGGCGGCGGCAGGGGCGTGGCCCCCGAGCGGGGAGCTCCAAGCTCGTCCTTGCTCCCAGAGCGCGCGCTGTCTGCCATGCGCACCCCGCGCAATGTCGAGGGCCATCTGCAGCCGCCGCCGCGGGTCCAGGTCCGCCTTGGCGCGGTGCAGCAGCCGGTACAGGCTCCCCCTGTGCAGGGAGCAACGATGGAGGCCGCGCCATGATTGTGACCATCAAACAGCACGCTGCCTCGGACTGTGAGGAGCCACGGGTCCGGGCGCGCGCGTGTGCGCCCCTCGCCTTGCCGGGCGTGCCACCTTTGGCGAGGGGCGGGGGGGCGCCCGCCGCTAACTCCTGCCCTCCCGGCCTGCCTGGCGGTCCCGCAGAAGCCATTACCTCAGAGAGCGCCGCGGCCCTCGCCCGCTGCGCTCGCTCCCTCGCTGCTCGCACGCCTCCCACCCGCCCCTCCCCGTCACGATAAGTGGAGCCAACCCCCTCGGCCCGATAAAGAGCCAAAATCCCCCTAGCTCGCCTGGGTATGAACTGGGTCACGATGGCGAGCTGGTTGGGGCGCGTGACCGCCCCCATGAAGAGCACCACGTTGGGGTGCCTCAGCCGCGCCATAATGTCCACCTCATCCTTGAACTCCTGGGGGGGGTGGGGTGGGGTGGGGTG